ACTATGTTATGCAGAAAAATAAACTGAACAACTTTTGCCTGGGGTCGCATCGAATCTTTATTAAATCTAAAGTTCTAAACTTCTAAAGTAAAAAATAAAATTAAAGACACCCGCTGTGATCCCCAATTTGTTTTTCTTTTTTTCGTTGCTTCAAACTGCTGAAAATGGAGTTGTCCGGCCTGGACGTCCGGGACCCTTGACTATCCGGCCAGGACGTCCTGCCACCGTACAAATGGTAGCCTAGCTTGAGGGCTGGGCCAAGCTGGCAGTCGATCTTCCATGTGAGCGAAGCAGTCAATGCTGAGCAGCGTTCCTTCGGCCAAGCAGAAGGAAGGCGTGAATGCACCTGACCACAATCACATCCTGGATGCATTCATTCGATGTACCTCTACGCCTTGCCAGCGGAAAAGGAATCGGACGGAGGGCATACCTTTATCGGACTGCTTTCGTGGCCAGGCCTTGGATGCACCTGACCACAATCACGTCCACAGATTAGCTGAAAAAGCCCTCGTGTAAGTATGCCCTGATGCTGCCCGGGATGGGCCTGTTTCAACTTTTTTTAAGTTAAAAAAAAAGAAGACACAAAAAGTCAGCACTGGGTCAGGCGAAGAGGTCTGGACCAGCTGGAGCAATCGTGACTCAATTTTTATGCCTTTGGTGCCTGCGATCCCATTCATGTTTCAGTGCATGCACTGCATGGACAATGGACCCAGCATTCTTTTTTCCATGTTAGGGCATACTCACACTGGCACTTATCTAGATGTATCTGACTACAATTACAGCCAGACCTGGACACATCTGACCGTAATAATCGGCTTACTTACATGCAGAGCTGAGTGGAAAACCTCCTCGTGTGAGTTCGCCCTCAAAGTTGAAAACTCTTCATGCACTAATTACCGTCTTCCCCCGAGTAGAACGTACAGTCATGATCGCTGCATATCTAGACTGAATCTTGCCCCAAATACCGGTATGATGGTCGTACGTTCTATTTGGGGGATGGTAGGAGTTAAATGTGTGTCGCATTGAGCCACTATGCATATGAAAAAAAAAAAAAAGTCCTGCTTTTAATCCTTGTTCAAAATGTGGGAGGGATCCTTGGGGACTCCGCGACCGGAGTTCGAGTGTGGTGGCACCCAGTTGCGGGTGATTTAGTAGCACCGATCTAGGCCGATACCCCCCCATGTGTGTGCTCAAGGCTGTGAGTCCTAGGCTTGAGTGTCCTCTGCGTGTGGGTGGGCTCACTGTGCCGCCGGTTGGGCTGAACCAGGTGCGCTGTGGCAGACTGCGTAGCCACACGGGCCCTGTAGGACCCGTCCTGGACATTCAGCCTTAAAGCCTAAAACTTAGGAGCTACAGGTCCCGGTCGTTTCAACCTGAAAACTGAAAAACGAGGGCCTGCAGGCCCTACTCCGTTTCAGCCTATTTCTGGGTCCCAGAGTTTTTCCAGCCTGAAACGGAGGGCTATTCTTA